TTTTCTTGGAGACCCTTGGAACTGTTAACCAATTTTAATCATCAAAGGGAAGCAGCTTTCTTTTGCTCCAGAAGCTGTTTCTCTTCAAAGATTGACCTTCCTAATAACTCCACGACAAGTCCTTAGCGGCATTCTGTTGATAATACCCACAAGCTAGAAAAAGAATTGCTCCCAATGTTGAGGCCTGACGTCAACTATCTAGTATCTTTTCAAAAGCATTTGCGCTGATACAAACAAGTGGTGCAATTGGACCAGTTCAAACATTTTATACTGTTCAGTTCTCAGATTATGATATCTGTAGCAAATCCTTTCTGTAGATGATAATGTTATTTACATATCTTTGTTACTGATTTAGCATTTATGTTTTCTAATCATAATTAAAGAAGGTCATGGATTTTAAGCTTCCTTAGAGGCCTTGAAATAAAGGTTCGGCTTAAAATGCTTAATGTGGAACAGTGGAAGTGCCATTTTGATATGGTCCATCCTCAGTGATACTGATATGTGCTAATTAATATATGTATAGAGAGAGAGAGAGAGAGAGAGATTTCATATAACATACACATGATTTAGATGTCGTCCAATGATAGAGAAGGCCCAAGTAATTTGTATGTCCAGATTCTTATTGGAGGTTGTAAAAAGCTTCAGGATTGATGCAGCATTGTGGAATAGGTAACCATTGTTTTAGCTTTAGCTTCCATTTATCATCTCTTATTGAAACTCATTATCTTTTTGTAACACAGGTGTGTTTAGGATATCTTTTGCTTCAGGCAACTTGATTGCACGCATTGATCAGCTGCATTTAGACTATCTTTGGTTGTGCACAATGGTCCAGTGTGTGGTCAAGATTTTCTTTATTTTGCACTTTCCTGTCATCTTTGTCCATCTGAGGTATGTAGACCTTTTGCTAAAGTTTAACGCTAGTAGTTGTTTATTTAATTTCAGGTAATGAGTTTTTTACCCAAAATTTTATCAAACAAACATTTTCCTTGAATTTTCAATTATTAGAGTTTGTATAATTATGCATGGCTGAATTGGCAATGCATCAAATAAAATACACCTTTTTAATGCTTATAAAATTTGAACTCTTGATAGTACTATTCTTCAGTTGAAGTAAATTTTCTGCAATGTCATTTCATTAAAATTATATTAAGTTTATGAAAATTTTCTTTTCATTTCAAGGTGCTGTTCTATCAGTTACAATATCCTTGCTTCAATATAAACCCTAAAATTCGATACTCTTGAAATAGTGGGGTATTAGTTTAGCAAATCTATGTGGATTTCTGATAAGAAAGTAGTAATGTTATGCTAGTCTCGTCATCACTTGAAAGGATTGGCATCTTTCTCTGCCATTTCCCCTCAGGTTCCTTTTTTCATTGACCATGCAGTAATATTAGTAGGAATCAAAAACTTAAACAAGTCCCACATTTACATCAGCAGGAACACACATAATCTTGTAATGGGATTTTGGATTGTGTTTCTTCTTCATCTGACCTTCTAGCAATTCTCCAACCCGTTACAACATTGCTGTTTTTTTTTTTTTTTTTTTTTTTGTCTTTTGGTAAACAAAGGTCTTCATATCCATCGGTAGAATGGTGGTCTTCTCATCTTTGGAGAGATTTCACTTGGGCCAAGTTCATTACATTATTTGTTTGAGATATATAATAATGTATAGTTACTCATGGATCCAAAACAACCAGAGCTGGGGCCTAAACAGTGTACGGTGCAATTCTTTATGAGCTTCCTCTATCTGAACCCAAATGGGTCTTGGAAAGAAACCATTAAGGGATTCAAATCTTGGAAATACTGAAGGAGAAAGGGTAGTCATTGAGGTATTAATCTGTACAAAGGATTGGAGGAAAGGTAGTTGCAATCAAATCAAATACTAAAACTTGACTGTTTTGTTGTAGGATATAAATGATTTAGATAAGTAGAAGCTCAGTCCATGTGGATACTGGAGCCGTTGGCTGTTACATAAAAATGAGGAGAACATAACAAATAAGTGGAAGCTTTTTAATTGTGGGCCACAATTCAATCACGATTGGGTCAAGCCATGACCCGATTTGTTTAGAACTATGGATCCAGCTATTAGTTTCTCATGATTTACTAGATGGTAAATGTGAGCAGTTGTTTGTAGTCATTGAATGGTTTAGAATGTGAATCCATTAAGATATTATTCTATTAGTTTATGAAGATGTATTATTATACCATAACCTAATTATGTTGTTAATATTCATTAAGTATGGCCAATGCCATCATCCATTTTAATATCAAATAAAAGTATTAGTATATAGATTCCATACGGCTCGCCTCATATCATACTGGTCATCAGTCAAATCTCTTTATTTTATTATACTTGAACATCTTTAATTCATCATCTAATGTATAAACAATATTATTGATTATTTAAATATTTCTGTTGGAGCCTGCTATATCAGAGTTCAAACTATATTCTAATTCAACCTATTGATTAAATAGTTTGAATTCAACATTCATGTAATACTAAAAATTAAATTATAAACACTGCTGAGTCAGACCTTTGCTTCACAAGAAAAGAAGCTACCATGCAGCCTCTTATTTTAACACGTGCACTATTTCATTATTTTATTTCACTCATTTTGACGACAATTCTTGTCGTTGGTGAAAAAATTGAGTCTAGTTTTGCGGTGCAGTGCACGTTTTGGCGGTTGTCACGTGTGACGAGGATAGAAGGATAATGGTTTTTGGTCAAAGTCACATTTGAACAGGATGGTCAAGTTTTGCTGACTTCTCTTTTTATTTCTTATTTTCTAGTTCGCAATAGATAATGAAACAATTATTTTGTAACAAAATAGAGGGATGGTTGATATCTAGCTCTCATATAACAATATAATAAAGATTGGTTTACAATCTAATCTCTCAAACTCTTTTTTATAATCCCGACATGATAGTTCGCAATTGGTTAGATAAGAAAATTCATTAAAAACCAATTACAAGCTGTCATGTTAGGGTTGTGAGAGAAAGTTTGTGAGATTGGATTGTAAGTATAATATTATCCTTAACAATATGTTTTATAAGGAGTAAGCGACATGTTCTCAACCAGACAAGTTCTTACCCTTGGTTTTATAAATTCCATATTCCTAGCCTTGTAACAATCAAAAGGTAAAATAGTCATTTACACTACATTAAATTTGAAATGAAATTGAAAATTTTAAAATAACCCTCCACATCTCAAATTTTTCTCACAAGCACCCTCTTGCTAAAACTTCTCTTCTATCGCTTCTTTCTCCCTCCCTCACCACAACCTCCTATTTCTCTCCCTAACCAACAACCACTAGCCACTCAAATTGTTTGGGGTGATTTGAGCGGCAAGTGGTGTGTGGGAAAGGGCAGGAGATGGCCGGTTGGTGAGAGGTTGGGTGGGGAGGTGCCAGCAGGTGCCCACAAGGGGGTAGGCTACGCACTGGGGCATGTTGGAAAGGTTCGCACGCTTGAGGCAGGGAAAAATTAAGTGGGGAAAAACGTTAAGCACTTGGTGTGCGTCAACAAAGGAGAAGCAAATGGTAGTCGTTGGCAAGGAAAACAACCTAGAAAACATACACAATCAATCACCAATCAATTAATAAGCCCAATCATCCTAAAAAATCATCAAATCGAAACCAAATCGGTGGAACAAATAACCTAGCCGTGGTGGTTGGTGGCAAGTCACGACTGATGATTGGTGGGTTACCAAGCATCAAGATTAGGGGGGTTTTATAGAGTGGAGGTTGGTGCTTCAAATGGTGGTGTTGGATTGGGTTTTGGCTGCCGTTAGCTGTTAGTCGTCCGAATTTGGCTTAAAACAGCAAAACCCTAACTTTGCGTTGGCTGATGAATGATGGGAGAAGAGGCTTGGGGGGTTTGGTCAATGGAGGTCGCAGAAGCTAGTGGTGGGGTCAAGGAAGGCCAACAACGTTGGATTTGAGCGGATGGTTGGGTGGAGGCAGTGGCTAGGTGGTGGTGGCAATGGTTGGGTGATTGGAGATGGGATGATGTGAAGGTTGATGAAGAGGGTGTTATTGAAATAAATTTAAAAGTAAGATGATTATTTTTATAATTATACTAATTTAGGGGTTAGAAAATAATTTATTAATTTATTTGTCAAGGACAATATAGTAATAACATCTTCTGCATATGTGTCAAAAGACTTAAAACCTAAAAATCATTAACAGTGCCTACTTTAAGTGTGTGAATATAAAATTTATAAAATCAGGGATGGAAACTCACTATTTCTTGAAAGCTTGGGTGGGAACACGTTGTTTACTCTTTTATAAATTTATTATTATTATTAAGAGTAATAATGAGAACAAGATAAATAAAAAGTGAAGTGTGATTCCTTTGAGCTGAGGCCAATAGAATAGAGAAGAAAACAGGTGGGTGTTAAGAGTAATGAATAAGATTACACCTAATCCCAACATCTAATTATAAATAATAATAATAATAAAGAAAACAAGAGAGATGGAGAAGTCGACAACTACAAGCAGCATTTGCAAGTTGATCATGGTGGGACGCCACCAACAATGAATATCATAAGTTGAGAGATTGACTTTACCCCTATCCTTTGTATCAATTTGTCTATAAACAATGTATTTGATTTTGTGTTAAATAACTTTTCTATTCCGACCTATCCCGATGCTTCATCCATCATAATTACCATGTGTTTTTTCCTTTCTTAAAATTAATAAAATAAAAATAATTATTAGAATTTGATCTCAAAATTACATCATTAGAATAACGTAAGTTATTATGAAATCATAAAAATAAATACAAACTCTCTCTTCTTCAATAATGTACAAACAACTAGACAAGTGGACACAATAAACGACAAACAACGTCGCTGTTTTAACAATGATGACGTCACTATAAAGAAAAAATAAAACCACGTGATATATATCCCCTTCTCCTACTTTACAGTATACACCATCACCATGGAAGTTTCAAAGAAACCAAGTTCCATTTACATTATTATTATATTATTCCCTCATTCATGCACCTACCCTTCCTATATATTTCCCTCTTCTCTTTAAATTCCAAAAATTCCCCTTCCCCTCACAAGCACAATAATCAAATCTCTTCTCTCCTTTCCTCTCTATACCCAATTCAACCAATTATAATGTACGGACACAGCTTTGCCCAATCTGATTTTGCAATTTTAGACTCAGTTCGCCGTCATTTACTCGGTGAATCCGACCCTGGACTCACTGTTTCAACCGCTACTTGTAATTCCACTGCCACTGCGCCTCCTCCTACTGCTACTGCTTATTGCCGGAGTTCCAGCTTTGGCTGCTTGGACCCTTGTTTAACTGACACCTGGGGGGATCTTCCTTTGAAGGAAAACGATTCCGAGGATATGCTTGTCTACAATTTCTTGCGGGATGCCCTCACTGAAGGTTGGGTCCCCGTCCCACAGGAGGTTACAGAAAGCTGTCAGCTTAATTTTCCGGTGAAGGAGGAGCCTTTTGTGGCCCCCGAACAACAGATTACAGCAACTCCTGCTGCCACAGCGGCGGCCCCTGCTCCGGCGGTGGCTGTCCCTTCCAAGGGAAAGCACTACAGGGGAGTTAGACAGAGACCCTGGGGGAAGTTCGCCGCAGAAATTCGGGACCCGGCGAAAAATGGAGCCCGGGTTTGGTTGGGGACTTTCGAGACGGCTGAGGATGCCGCTTTGGCTTATGACCGAGCCGCTTATAGGATGAGGGGTTCCAGAGCTTTGTTGAATTTTCCTTTGAGGATTAATTCTGGCGAACCAGAGCCGGTTAGAATTACGTCGAAGAGATCATCGCCGGAGCCGACTTCTTCATCGGAGAGTAAGTCGCCAAAGAGGAGGAGAAAGGTGGGTGGTGGTAGGTCAGCGGCGGCTCAAGCCGGGTTGGAAATGGGAGGTGGAGTTGCACAAGTGGCATCGAGTACACGTGTGGAAGAATTAATGGTTTTATAATGGTGAGGTGGAAGATATTTTGAGTGACTCAAAAAATTGATGGTATCCGGAGTTGTATGTAGTGTATGAGGGTATAATCATTTTTTGGGTGACCAAAGTTTTGGAGCTTCTTTTCTTTTAGGGACAAAAATAAATTAGTGATGAGTTTGTTTTGGTTTGTGAATATACAAAAACTTGTTTTTTTTTTTAATTGTTTTATGAAATTAAATATCTCCCACTGTTTAAAAAATATTTAATTCTTTTGTTGGCCACTTATATTGTCTTTGATTATTAAGAACGCCAATTATAAAGCACATAATTTGGAAATCCATCTAATCACTGCTCAAAAGTCAATGACATGAAATGTGTTAACTTGACATAGGAGCTTCAACATTTTCATATTAATCCATATTTATGTCTTAATGTTTTTGACTATATTAAAAATAGATACGAGACTGTTATGTCTTGCTTTTCCCGTTTTCATCTCTTAAAAGATGTTTAAATCAAAGATGGATTCGATTCTAATTAGACTGTGCTTGGTCCGTTTTTGTTAAGATAAAAGATAAAGTGGGAGTTGAGAAGAAGATGACCCCATCTCTGACTGTTTTTTAAACAACAATTATAATAAAGCGCCACTCATAATTTGCTGTAAAGACAATATGGTACTTGAAAAGTTTAAAAATGACAAACAACTATTTCCCGTCAAATTCTGTTAAAGATTTCCGTTTACTTAATGATAATAGTGTTAGAAAATTTTTTTATCTTCTCTTCTTCGTCTTTTTGGTCTATATTTTCTTCCATCTCTTTACTTTCCTCTCTCTTCTTCTCTCTTGGATTTTGCCAGAATTCAAATGGTAAAGGGATAAATTTTATTGATTATGTTTACTATAATTAAAATTAAATTTCCTAAAACCTCTCACAAGATCTCTTTCTTGTAAAATCATCTACACAACCACTTCACAGTCCAGTCCAATCTCCCCCATCCTCCACCGTTGCAAACTTCTCAAAACACCACCAACAAACCCATTTTCATAACCTTGAAGAATTTTTTCAGAAGCGAATATCACCATCCTTTGGCAGCCAATAATTCCCTCTTTCACCCAGCAAACCCACCCACCCCATTCACCTTGCTCCCGTCCCAACAAACCCACCTCACCCTTTCCTCATGTCCAGCAACCTATCAGCCCGCCCAACAACCCCAAAAAGACATCATCCGCACCCACTTCACCGCGCAAAACAACCTGCAGCTTCGTAATCCTCAATAAAAAATAAAAATAGTCACAATCAATTCTTTTGGGCTTTTTTTTTTAAGAAAATAAAAAGGAAAAAAGAAGGGGTGTGGAGATCTTTGTGCCCTGAGATTAATAGAGGATAAAACAACGGTGGCTGATTGAGGGAGGAGAGAGTGAATTAATATTAGTGGCTGGCGAATAAAGTGGAGTGGAGGTAGTGGGAGGCGTTGGTGGGATTTAAGACAGAGGAGGATTGGTGGGATTTAAGGTGTTGGAGGTAGTGCTAGGGAAGGGTAGAAATGAACGGTGGCTGTGGATTAGGGACGGAGAAAGAGGGAATTATTGGCTGCTAAAGTAAAAAGAGGAAGATAAAGAGATGAAAACACAGACAGAGATAAAGATAAAAAGGCATTTCAGTCTTTTACATCACTGTTATCTTTAACAAACGGAAGTCCTTAACAGAATCTAACGAAAAATAGCAATTTGTTATTTTCAAATTTTTTGGGTATCATAAATCTTTACGGCAAATTATGGATAGGTGTATGTCATTTGTCCATTATAATAATAGATGCAATTTGATCAATTATAATAATAAATGCAAATTGATCAATTAATTTCGTCTAAACGTAATTGAGTTCAATTAATACGACATCACATTTGATCTCGCCTTTTAATTTGTCACCACAGGTTTATTCGTAATCGCTACAAGGGTAACGAATTGAAGGTGACATTTTGGATAAGATGATGGCGACATCTAGCACATTGTCTAATGACATGGACTTATAAACCACTTCAAAATATTTATTTCTTAATATAGCTACACCTATCGTATTCTCATTCTCAACTGTTAACCTATTATTTCCCTTTAGGGATACATGGTAGATATTGTTTATTTGTCAAGTTATTCAAGAATCAAAGATCCTCTGCATTAATAGCGAGTAGACAACAGCCCCCAAAGTGGGTCGTGTCAACCACAAACAGAAGGTGGGGCTGCCCGTGCGGGATTCTCAGATTGTTATATGGTCCAACTTACAACAGCTTTGCAATTGAAAATTTGACTTGACTACAGAGAGATTAATTGATTATTCAACATTTCAGAGAGACCGCTTTAAAAAATGCCATCATGTAATGATATTTTCTGACTTTTCTACTTATGTCGTTGTTCCTTCATTTATTGTCTAATGTAACTACATTATACAATTCAAATGGGTGAGTAAGAAGACAAAAATGGTGTATGAAGGAACCATCTGCTCAAACATCGTTCAACCTGTTTAACTTTCAATACCAAAAGGGGTAACTGTCATTCTATACTTTTGAATTGAAAGGGTGCATTCCAAATGGCTTTTTGTCAAAGTTAGGGAGGCATGCCAAGAAAACATTGAGCTGCACATAATTTTCAATTTTTACCTGAACTTGAGTGAGTGATTTCCTCACTTACAACTTATCTTGCTAGAGTACAAGGGAAAAAATCATAAATAAATTAGGATCAAGATGCTATTGAGAACACCATAAATATCACAATATGGTAAAGTTACGGTGAAATGCGTATAAGACGGCATCATATTTTTCATGACATTTACAATTTATGCAAGTGCACACTAAACAACCATAGGAAAGTTGGGTTTGGAAAACTCATGTTATATATCAGCAGGCTTGTGAGTTTTCAACATACAACACTGTCATATTGCAACTCTATTCATTAAAGAGTACTTTAAGCCAATTCTGCTAAAGTTTGAACAATTTGGCTGCAACAGTAGCTTGGATTTGTTCAATCATCCGGACTAAATTAAAACAATAAATAATTTAGCAATTGCTCTTGCATATTAAGATACTAATCTAAGGGCTAAGAAATCAGGCAAGCACTGGAAAGAACATCAAGGACTCATAACATTGAAAGGAATTATCTTTGGTTCTTAAAACTTACCTTGGCGACCATCTCCTGCATTGGACAAGTAATGATGATTTGAATGACAAACCAGAAAAAACATGGCGAGCAATGCATCCATAATCAACTTGATTGTTCATCCCAATATTCACTCTCAAATTTTTACCAAAGTGAATGAGATAAAGGACCTTCTAATTACAATGTAAATAAGTGAATAGATGTTAGTTTAGTCCTTTTCAACTAAAATATCCGCTCGGTGCACAAGGTGTGAACTGAAATACCTCTTTGATCGGCTTAGATCTTCTTCATAGTCCATTTCGCCATCAAACTCAGAGTACAAAGATTCTTGAGCACTCAAACTGTTTACTAGCCTGGATGTTTTGTGAAACTTCAGTAAGCATGTAAGACAAACGACCAATCTATTGCAGCAAGTACAAATTACTTTGCTATGTATGCAAATACTATGAGAAAAACACTGCGAAAAGATGCGGAAACTATCATGAAAATTGGACAGAGAAATATTAAGGAGAGATGAGAAAAAAACCTATCCCCAAAATTCATAAAAAAAGGTGTTTTTTTAGCTTTATGAATACAATTTCATTCCAAGCCATCTGTCAAGTTTCAAATTCTTCCAATAAATTATCACCACTCTTCAAAGTTTTGCACCTTCAAAAGCCACTTTTTCTTAAGCCCAGGCCATAAGCTTTAATCTAATATCTTATAATAACTATATAGGAACTAAGCTTCTTATGTTGTGCGAAGTAATTTCATAGTTTTTTATAACCATCAATTATAGAATCTGAACACAAAACCGCTTTAAAGGAATCAACTATTGTAATCTTATCATGCAGAACAAGTCAAAATAGAACTCTTGTACGTAAGTTGATGCCAAAATTACTTCATTTATGATAAAGGAAACTTGTGCAACCATGTCAGTAGACGAAAAAAATCTAAACTTCCATAGATTAGGAGTTAAATGCATACCTAAAAGCCATAGAAGCTAGCTTACAAACAAGAAGTTGGCAGACGATTGATTGTACTAACCTGTGATGAGGGATTTCTTTGCTTCTTGCAGCCGATTTTGACTTCCTTCTTGTGATTTTTATCCGCTTCAGACATCATTTCAGCCCATTTAATCTTCTCTTAACGTGGAAAGGAGATTGTCTGAATTGTCCAACCTAAAATTTCAAATTAGTAAATCCTTTAGACCTTAATGAGACATCATGGAAACCAATAATAATCAAGAGAGACAGGAAGATTATAAGAAATAGAGAGAAATTTTATAGCTTTAGCTCATCATGAGATTAACAAAGCAGGAATCACATATGACACAGCTTACTTCATAGATATAAAATCATCTCTACCAGTCAGTACCCAGTCTAGGCATTAGCAAGGTCCAATCCCGGTTTAAATTCAACAAATCAAATAACAAGATAAGTCCAAGGCGTTCAAAACATAGTAGTGTGTGAAAGTATTATTGCAATATTTTGTTGAAAATAATGATCACTCATTCTTTTTAATTTACGTTTTACAGGAGAAGAGGTAGAACTAAATCAATGTAGGATCCACGCAAAAGTATGCCAATCTTCACTAGCATTATTTCCCTCTCTGCATGGAGACCACAATAGCCAATAAAGTAACACTAAAAGCTTATTAGATTACTTTTCTTTTTCCGCTTAAAAGGTATACGACAAAACATTTCTCCACTTCATTCATACTTCCCTAATTCAACATTTCTCCAATTCATTCATACTATCCTAATTCAAATTTCTCCTGGGGTAGGACCCTATAGGCAGAGTTGGTCATGTCTGTAACCTTAAACACTTCGCAGGAATTTCTCACTACACAGCTAAAAATGCACACCTTTGCTTCACAGTCTGGAAATGATATTGCATATGGTAGACAGCTTCTTGCACTTTTTGGTATATCCAGCCTGTTACTTTTTCACCAGTAGTGCGAAGCAGCAAAAGCAGAAGCACATACATTGAATCTCAACCAATTTAAAGTAGCTATCATTAATCAATAAATTTTAAAATCGAGTCACATCACCCCATTCTACCAGGGATATTTATAGCTACACAGTCCAAAAATGTACTCATATGGGGCAAACCTCATTTTCTTTAAAAAAAAATGTACTGCAGAGTCCTAGTGAGTGTGAACATGATAAAGCACCACTAGATAAAAAACTTTTGGTAAACATAATATGCATATTGATACCAACAGAGAGATGTTTTTGACAGTCTTTTTAACACTGCACCAACTAAGATAATCAATACCGTAACTTGAACTTGGATAGTATTTGAAAAGAGAGTGAACTGAAACATACCAATTTTTAGCTTCTGCTCATATGTCAAGTTGGCATGTCTCAAATCCCTCCCTGCCGCAAATTGCACCTACAAAATTATGAAATCACTACAATCACTGAGTTGTCCACATTAATTCTAAAGGAACCCCAATCATAAAATTTTAAAAAAATTAACCAAGGTGAAGGATTCAACCTCAAGGATCTTCTTGAATGATCCAACTTCCCTTTGACTATGCCCTACAGAAACCATTTGAAGATAATCAGAATTTTCTCCTTATAATGAAAAAGCAAGTGGCAGTATACCAAAGAAAGAATACAGATTTACCAGATCTTCGGAATGAAAGGTCAATCAAAGTAATACATGGAGGTCAACATAAGGATACATGTGGTCTCGTAAATTGTATCAATATATACACCAATTTTAAATGATTTTCATATTGTCATTTTTGTATACCAGTTTAAGTAATCAACTTATATTATCCTTATGAAAACTTAATATTCACATATTCATTATGCACTAGCAATCTCTCAAAATAAGATTCTTAAATGACTGGTTAGTAAATCTTTTCAGAATAAGACAAAAGGACCAATACACCCACTAAATTGTATTCGTGATGGCTTCATGCTTTAGTAAAAGCCGCAGAAGAGCAGTAAGAAGACCTACCACATACATGCACTCATTGATAAGGAAGTCTTCAAGTTCACGCACGTTAGCAACCGTTCTTGTAGAAGTTGTCATCTTAGAGAACCTAGGAAATGTTCAACCATAGCTTCAGCAAAATTTTGCACAGATCAAACAGCATATATTTTCACAAAAGAATGACAAAAAATCCAACATATTAGGTCGGTCTGGCATGATATTATAAAATAGGCATGAGTAGAACTCCCAAAAGCTAGCTCACTTAGGAGACTGCCCAAACCACATATGAACACCATAACAGCCCAATAACCTGCGATGTGGGACAATGCAAATTCTAACACCCTCCATCACGTGTAGTGTCCAGGCTGGGTTTTAAACCCAACATTGCTTGCAAGCATTGACTCAAACAAATGCAAATTCTAACACCCTCCATGTTTAAGTAAAACTCACTTCTGAAAGCTAGCTCAAAAAAGAGGGTGCTCAAACCACATATAAACACCATAACACCAGCAACCTGACGTGTGGACAAAGCAAATTTTAACAGATACATCGTTCAAAGATTTTCCTTCTAGTTGTGGCACAACATGAAAAATTCATAATTAGATTCAGAATAGATCAAGAAATTTCAAGCTGAAATTAAAATTCCCAACCCTAAACCCTAAACCTAACCACAAAGACCTATCTTTTCTTGCTGAAAGTTAATAAATAGAAAAATTAATATTACACCCCATTCCGATCCCAATTAGTTTTCAAGTCTGAACTTTATCGTATGTCATTGGTCAAACGGTGCCAACAGGTCAGAAAATCAGTGTAATTGAGAGAGATCATAAGAATAATAAAAAATGAAGGACTGATTGTGTCCTTATTTTTTACTCGTGTTTGTGTCCCTTTTTTTTCATTTTTATGGTGAGTAAAATGGCTTGACAGCATTAATATAAGATTGCTACTTTTGCAACAAGGCCGATAAAAAATAACCAAAATGAAATTAAGTCTCATAAAACAAATGCCAAAAAGTCAACGTTACCTATGTGCAGAATCAAATTTTATTAACTCCCATGAAAGCACAGATGCCATCATTCTGGAGAGTCAGGAAAATTGACAAATCTAGTTCTCATGAAAGAGCAACATCAAGCAACCAGAGATACAGAGCTCAGGAATAGGTTAACTGGATACCTTATTGGTCTCAGCAAGAGTAAGCACGCTAAGTTGTTTAAGCTTCACCACTTGAACCGGTACCAGCTGTGGTAGACGGGCTGCATTACCTAGGTAAATATACAAACAATTAAATCCACTAGTAAGAAAAATTGTGCAAGTTAAATGTCACCAGAGCAAGATAGACAGAAAATCAAAAACTCCAAAAGTAGATGTTTAAGTAATTAAATATAACAACTTAAAGAGACTGATCAAAGATATTAGTGTTTGTGTCATGATCCTCTTCCTCCATCATATACAGCCTACCATATCTAGTCTCAATGTGTCATGTCAGCTTGCTTAAAGTATATTTACAGGCATTTAATAAGATTTCAACAATTTTTTGTAAAATTAAAACAAAAAATTAATGTGTCATTTTTTCAAGATATTAGGTGTATTGTTTTCCTGAAAAAAAAGAAAAAAGAAAAAAAAGAACTAGTTCTTAAAGAGCTACCAAATAGCAAGAATTATTCATTCATTCTCTAATTAGCATTACTATGCAAAAATAACAAATAAGCAAGCGAACGCACACAAATACTTATATACGTATGTATAAAATCTACTAAGAATATGGCTTCCAGTTAAAGGGTACATTAAGGAACACTGACGCTGAGAGTCTAGATCTCATACGGATTTAGCCATAATCCTATCTTGTTTAAAATTTCGGCACTGTGCTCTAAATGGATAGTTTTCAAATCTATGAACCTCCAACTCTTTCTTTTTGCAAAAATAGTGCTACAAAGAGAACGAAAAGATGTAAAAAGGTTTCTTACTCTTGTAATCGGTCCATGTACCGTGAACAAAAAGCCGTAGCAATTCAAAGTAGGTCGAATTTTCCGTTCCCTCAAGCTGCATTTAAACGAATAATTGTTTAAGAATAATCAGAAAAATACAATCTACAACATCAATTAAATTAAGAATATCAAGTACGAAAATTCTGTTTAATTGAATGAATAAAAAATTCAAACCTGGAGGAGGTTGGGGACAGCTAGAATCTCGGAGAAGGCGAAGAGAGAAGGGTGAGAGGTGGCTTCGACAATGAGATTAGGCAAAGAGGAGAGAGTGAGAATGGAAGCTTGTTTTACAAACTGCTCTATCAATTGCGGTTGTTTCTGTTCTATCTCCATTGTTAACAAAACACTGAAGCTTTAGGTGGAGATGCAGAGACGTTTTGCTCCAGACTCCGGTGCGTATATATAGGTACGGGTTATTTATATAGAGTTTTTACATGACGTATTGCAAACGTCCGCCTGGAGATAATGGGCAGTTGGGCTTTGGCACACATATAGTTTAATTTGGGCTTAGGATCTGAGTCCACTCTATTTCCAGCCTTCTTGTATAGCCTAAAGTTCCAAGCCCACTTAGGAACTGAGTCCACTCTATTACCACTTACCAGCTCTCTCGTATAGCCTAAAGTTCCATACCCAATAAAATTTTCGCTTTAGGAAAGTGATTTTTAGCCCCCTGGATTAGTATCCCCCATTTTTAAATATGTATTTTTGTTTTGACAAGTTTAGCCTTAACTAAAAACTAGGTGTAAAGGCCGCTTGACTATTTATTACTTGTATTTCAAGTATTCAACTTTACCAATAAGATAAGAAGACTTACTTTAAATCACATAAAAAAGACTATTTATCTCATAGAAGTCTAGTGAAACTTATGGGAAAATGCCAACGGTTGCTATTGTGTTTGTCAAAGCAAAATAGAGTATGTTATATAGAATTAATTAGTCAGTTGAATATTTGACAATTAGTAAATCATTAATTTGGAATATAATTTTAAAATATTTGATTTATTTGATTTTAAGGTGAATATTTTAATATATTTTAATTATAAAGCAAATTTGTACACTGTTTTATATTTTTCTCAAATACTAATCGATGGTGTAGATGGAGGTTCTTTATTCTTCTCTTCACGAATTTTTAGTTCCTCTTCATTTGCAGCAACCAAATATTCCCGTGTATTTAGATTGGAAATAATTACCATGACAGAATCCATGATATCAAACAATGCATCAATGATATCTTTGAATTTTTGTCTTGCAGTATTTAAATTCTCTAAGTTAGTGCAAACATTAGGTGAAATCTCTTTCAACTCTAACGGTTTGTTAGCCATTGCGAAATCAACAGGGAAAAAAAACAATGAAATTCTATAAATTTATGAAAGCGCTACAAATACAGACTTCCTTATAGTTATATATAAATAAACATAACAAGACGGGTTAAATGTTAATACCAAATGAACCACCGACAAACCAGTAGACAATTTCTAATAAATTAAGACACTGATTGAAATTTGTAGGTTTTTCTTTTTTTATTTTGCCTTTTATATTACACAAAATATCTATTACCGTACCTTAAATTTTTGGAAATGAAAATGTGAGAGCTCTTGAGAGAGTTTTATCATTTATCCTTTATCCAAGTTCTTGCCATGCTTGGTGGTGGAATCCAAAACCACTGGCCATGCCTTTACGTTTTGGAGACCCTTGGCTGGTGGCGTTGCCTTTAAGCCTTGGGAATTTGGCTTCTATCTTGTTAGTAATGTTCCATAGCCGGTGGCGTAGCCTTTACGCTTTGGAAATCATTGGCACTTCTCTTTAGTTTGTAAGTTATTGTTTGTTGTGTCTATTTTCCATTGGTCAGTGGTGTAGCCTTTAAGCCGTGGATTGTTAGGCTATTATCCTTTATGTTATATTGTGTATATTGTGTGTGTTTTGTGTTGCTTTAAGTGTTGTTTGGACTGTCGATTGGAGTTAGTTGTGTTATCATTTGCTATTGCTAGGTTGAAGCATTTTTAACTCACTCTAAGTTTCCGCAAATGCATAAAGTTGAACCGTTTGCACCAATTTAGAGTGAGATATTAGAAATCAATCTTCAAACATGCAAGAACACACCAAGAACAATCGGCCAAAGCAACACACTCCCTTGCAAAACTCGGCCAAACAAGCAAACACACAAAGAAACCCACAAAGTAACTTAACAAACAAATGAGCTAAAATACCTATGGCCTAAAGGACGAACCACCAGCTAGGGAAAATCCACCACCAACCGTTAGCTAAGATTGGATAAAGGAATCAAAAACACATTCGCAAGAGCTGAAGTTTTCATTCATGAAGTCTGAAAATACAAAGGGAAAATTTGGTCTCTTATAAATGGCTTTACAAGTTGCCCTAATACAACATTCAATCTAGGCCATCCATGTGGCACAAAAATAAAGATAAAATCAATCAAGACCTTACATGTGGCCGTCAAGAGAGATGTTAGTTCTAATGAATTCAAAGTTACATGGAAATAAGCACAAGCAATAAACATAAATAAACCTTAAACAAATTCTTAGGAGATTTCAAAAACTTGTGACTTTCCATTTCAGGAAAGGGACAAGGAGCCGCCAAGTCTTCCATCCTTGTTTTTTGCCAAATCGGGTATGGAGTGTGACAACCCATGTGTTTCCTTGTTCCCTTGCATTCAATGCTCCCTACATGGTTCTTGACTAATCCTCGGAATATTCCTTGATGCTTTAATCTTTTTTGGTGGGAATAATCCGAAGTGATGAGATTATATCCAAATAAAGGAATTGGGCTCAAGTGTTGGGTTTGATTTACCTTGGGCCATTTGAATCCACCTTGTACCAATTTACTCTCTTGGGCCGAATTCTCACTAAGGGTTTCTTAAATGGACCCAAACCAAATCACCCAGTTGGAAATGGGCTGGTTTTCTATTCTTGTTGGCCCTTTTTTTGTAAGCCTCATTGGACTTTTCTATTTGCACTCTAATGGATTCATGAAGCTTCTTCATTGCCTTAGCCTTTTCTTTTGCATCCAAACTGATTTGAAAATCAATAGGTAAGGAAATAAATTCAATTGGAGTGATAGGATTCATACCATAAACAACCTTAAATGGAGTGTGGTTGGTTGTTGCACTTGGCGAGCGGTTGTAAGCAAATTCAACATGTGCAAGCTTGATATCCCAATCCTTCATGTTCTTGTTCGCCATTGTGCTAAGGAGAGTCTCCAAAGTTCAGTTTGTCAATTCAGTTTGGTCGTCGGTTTGGGGATGGTAAGATGTGCTAAACAATAGCTTGGTTCCAAACTTACTTTACAAAGTACTCCAAAAGTGACTAAGGAACTTAGTGTCTTGGTTCGAAACAATGCTCCTAGGAACCCAATGCAACCTCACTATCTCTTTGAAGAACAAGTTAGCCACACTTGAAGCATCTTCGGTCTTGTGACAAGGGACGAAATGAGCCATCTTTGAGAACCTATCAACTACCACCATAACTGCATCTTTACCCCATTGAGTTCTAGGCAAAGCTACCACAAAATCTGTACTTAGGTCCTCCCATGATTGATCCAGAACTGGTAATGGAGTGTATAGGCCAGGTTTGAAATGACTCTTGGCCCTTTGACATGTACCACACCTAGCAATAATGACCTGGACATCCTTTACCATATTTGGCCAATAAAAATGTTCCCTAATGATTTCTAAGGTCTTATGAACTCCAAAATGACCAGCAAGGCCCCCTCCATGTGTTTCCCTCACAATCAATTCCCATAGCTACCCTTGGGCACACAAACCCGATTGCCTTTAAAAAGGAACCACTCTTAAACCGTATAATCCTCAAAGCTACCCTTCTCACACTCGGCCATAATCAATTTCATGTCATTATCATTTGCATAACATACTTTCATCAATTGAAACCTAAGTATTTTTGCATCCAAAGATGCAAGTAAGACATGCTTCTGTGACAAAGCATTCGCCACCATGTTGTGCACTCCTTGCTTGTAGTTGGAAACAAAGGAAAAGTATTGCAAGAACTCAACCCACTCGATATGTCTAGAGCTCAACTTATGATGCCCATTTATGAACTTCAATGCTTGATGATCTGAGTGAAGAACAAGTTGTTTGGACTTTTGGTAATGGCTCCAATGAACTAAGACCCTCACAATGACATATAACTCCTTGTCATATGTGTTCTACCTCCTCCTTGAGTCATTTAACTTTTCACTAAAATAGGTTATGGGATGCTTGGATTGAGTAAGGACTACCCCTATTCCAACCCCACGAACATCACACTCAACCTAAAAAACATGGTTAAAATCGGTCAAGGCAAGGATGAGTGCCTCACAAAGTTTCTTCTTGATCAATTCAAAGGCTTCATTTGCTGCCAAATTCCACCAAAATTGACCCTTCTTCATGCATTCAACGATGGGTGCCATGATGGTGCTGAAATTTGCTACAAACTACCTATAAAAGAAGGCTAATCCATGGAAACTCATAACCTCGATTATGGATTTTGGTTGGGGCCAGCTCTTGATAGCTTCCACCTTGGATTCATCCACCATTATACCCTCATTAGACACAACATAACCTAGAAACACAATTTGGGTAAAAAAGAATTCACAGTAAATGTTTTAAAAATTGGACTGCTCCTTGACCTGTTTAAGGGGCTAGTTCTCGGGTTGATCAGTCCAACCAGTTAGGTTGATTGGTCTGACTACTGTACAACAGACACATCTTTAAACAACTACCATCAGTCCTTATACGTTTGAAAACTAGCAAACACACCCCTGTAACTTTTATTATCAATTATTTTTTTCGCTTTCCCCGCCACTTGCTTCTTTCTTCTTTTCTCTCTCTCTCCCCATCACTTTCCCCTCTTTCTATTGTAACTTTTTTCTCTCATCTTCTCTTTCTTCTTCCTTCCTCTTTCTCTTCGTCTCCTCCTTTCCTTCTTCTAATCTTCTTCCTTCCTTTTTCTCTTCGTCTCCTCTTCTCTTTGTTTTACCTTCCCCTCCCCCTTACTTCACTTGATGGCCAAAAAGGCCTTGGCCATTGCTATCTTGCAAAATGAGCTCCAAATTGGATCAGCCATTTCTTCCTTCCCCTACCCTTACTTCTTCATCTTCACTTTAACAAAGAATGAACCCTAAATTAGAGAGCCAAAAACCATGGTCCAGTGATTAGGGATTTACAATTAGATTTTACTATTGGGGAATAGTTAACCCGATTTTGCCCTAAAGTTGGTTGGACTGGCGGGTTGCTATAGTAACACCGATCCAACCGTGGGTCATACCGAGTGAATTCAAATTGCTAATTTTTCATCCTAATCAGCCTGACTTAGTGACTGGTTCCCGGTTGAACCGGTTAAATCGACCAGGTCGGGCTAGGTT